TGTGAGCTCGGGGTCCCGCGCTGCCTGCGGTGCCTCCGGGGAGCTGAGCCCAGGCCCCAGTCCTGGCACAGAGACGGCCAAGCTCAGTGCCTCAGGAGCAGAGGGACCGGGACTCAGGAGCAGAGGGACCGGGACTCAGGAGCAGAGGGACCGGGACTCAGGAGCAGAGGGACCGGGACTCAGGAGCAGAGAGCCGGGCCCAGCGGGGCAGGAGGCTGCAAAGTCACTGAAAGTAACTGTGGAGCGAGGGCGGCCGCACAGCGGGGTGCGATTAGGTCAGAAAATCGCTGTGTTCTCCGCGCAAAGCTCCTCCGAAGTGGAAAGGTGTTAACAGAGAACTGCAGGGGAGGGCGGCTCCGAGAGCCCCGGGGTGAAGAGGCCGTCGAGAGCACCGGCCGGATCCGTGGGGCTTGAGGATGGGCCGGGGAAGGTTCCCCCACCCTCATCCGACTAAAGAAGCTGCAGCAAAATTGAGTCCCCGGCCCCCAAAGGCTCAGATCCTCTCTGGGAAGAAAGCAATACCACGCGCGTGAGCGTTAGAAATCAGCCTGCGCGTGTTAGAAACCGTGTTCCAAAGCCTCCGGGACTCACCGGGCGTGGAACGGCAATTCTGGGAAAATCCACGGTTCCAGAGCCTCCGGGACTCACCGGGCATGGAACGGCAATTACGGGAAAATCCATGGCCCCAGGATGGCCTGCGCTCAACGTGGGGCTGCCCTGAGCTTTGGGGGATTTGGCCGTGGGCAACAGAAACACGGGGGAACGAGCCTGCGTGGGCACAGGGACGCCGGATTGCGCTGGGGGTTGCTGAGGAATGGAGTTGGATGGAAATAAAGTCACCACCTGTTGGGCAAGGGACATGGGACTTATCTTAGGTGAGGGCGACATGGGAAGCAGGAGCACGAGTCGCAGGCAGGGAGCTCCGCCTCCGGGAGGGTGAGAGGCTGGGAGGGCCAGGAGGACCAGGAGGCCAGTGCAGCCGCCAGATCTGCAAGGTGCATGGGGTGGACAATGCTCCACCTGCGTCCCCGTCCGGGAGTCCCAGTGGAAAAGCCATTTCACTGCAGGGCCCGTGACGCCAAGCACGCCACACACCAAGGCCACACTCTGGTGGCAGTGGGGCATGCTGGCCTGGGGGAGGCAGCAGGCAGGGCCACCATGTGGAGATCAGCCTTCCAATGACCGGAACCACCAGGAGGGGCTCACAGTGCAGACGCCAGGGCTCCACGGCTTCACTGCACACTGTGTGCCTAATGATCTCACATGTTAAAAAAGATCCTTTAAAAAGCTCATCTAAATGACACTAGAAAAGTCGCCGGGCTTGGGCAGTGCCCCCACCAACAGTGCGTGGTGAACAGCACCAGGCTCTGGACCAGACCCAAATGGGAAGGCTGGGCCTGCACTTCAGGGGTCCGCGGCCACACGGACAGCCACTCCTTGACAGGCTGCTGGCACCGCAGAGGCTGTGACGTCCTGGAGAGCCACTCATGCTGAGGGACCCTGAGCAGGGCCATCCATGTTCCGCTGGAGAAGGCTTTGCTGGAATGTGATGGACCTCTGCCATCTCAGGCACACTCAGGCACTCACCGGCAGGGGTCTGGGGTCCCTCCTCCATGGAAGGACCCGTTTCCCTGGCCAAAGATGGAGACTGGAGTGTGACTGTGGAGCAACGGATGCCTGGGGTTCCTTGAGATCTTGTTGACCAAGAGTCTTGACCCTTCCAATAAAGCCACGAAATGCTGTTAGGCTCTTAGGCTGGACGGGGTTACTATTTCCAACTGTTTTCATTACTGTAGAATTACACTGTGCACTTCCAGAGAACAATGTGGCCTGGAACTGGGTGACAAGATTTGATGCTCAGTCCCGTGGCTTTTTGTCATTGTGAACGTGGGAACGTTTCTCACCTCTCTGGACCTTGGTGTTACCGCCTATGTGCCTTGGTCTTCAGTGCCTAGGAAGGGCATGATAATGCGTGCACACCTGGGCCTCAACACCCCAGGAAAGAACGAGCTTAAAAACGAATGCAGAAAATATTCACTTCATTTAAGAAGTAGTAAGAATATCCCTTAATTAATTTGCAGATTTTGTACAACTGCATTTTTTTTTTCCAATGAAACTCAACAGGGTTATTCAAGGGTAGTCAAGAAGAGTAGAAGCCCCACTTGGCCCTGATTCTGCTGAGATTCCAAGAATTCGAAAGGGGTAATAATTTAAAGATGAGAACACGATGGTTTCCTATTTCCACTATTACAAATTATGGGAAACTGGGGGCTTCCAACAGAAACTTCTCATCTCGTGGTTCTGGAGGCCAGAAGTCCAGACACAAGGTGTGGTCGGGCCTCCCTCTGAAGGCTTCTGGGGAGGGCCCCACCTGCCTCCTCCCGGCTCTGGCTCTGCTTGCAACCCTTGGCCTGCGGTTGTATTGCCCAGTACACATGGTCACATCTGGAAAGCTCCCTTCCTCCGTCCCCACGTGACCTGTGTAGAAACTCCTCTGTCTCCCTCCTCTACGGACACTCACTCACGGTGACATTTAGAGCCCATCAGGATAATCCAGGACACTCTCCCATCCCAAAAGTCTTAATTTGGTCACATCTGCAAACGTCCTTTTCCCAGTCGGTTCACGTCCCGATGAGAAGCTTCCAGGGACTCAGGCCTGCTTTCTTTCCGCGGCCGCTTTACCCCAAGTAGCAACAGCAAACGGTAGAAAAGAACAACCTGAGTCCGCGTGTGCCAAGGGCATTCTCCCTGTGTGCTCCCTTCCTTTTCAATTCTGAGAACAAACCTGCAAGAAAAACTGAGCGGAGTCATCTTCCAGAGACATTTTTCTTTGGTGAGGCAGATGGATGACATGGGTGGCATCGTTCAGGTGTTCTGGGGCTGATCCTGGGATGGCAGATCGCTCCAGTTACCAGACGAGCGGCTTCCTGGAACAACGGGGTGCGGAAAGGGCGGAAACATGCCGGCGGGGGCCTTCGGGGCGATGGAGAGCCCGGGCACCTGGCTTGTGGTGATGGTGGCTGCTGCGGTTTGAATGCGCCACATCCAAAATTCACATGGAAACTTAACCCCCGATGTGGTGGTGTTGAGAAGCAGTGCCTTTGGGGAGGGACCTGTGCCTTGTGGAGGGACTGGAGGGAACCAGAGCAGCCTTTGGGGATGGACCCATGCCTCCTGGACTGACTGGAGGGAACCGGCGCAGCCTTTGGGGACGGATCCGTGCCTCGTGGACGGACAGAAGGGAACCGGCACAGCCTTCTGTGCTTCCCACTGTCCTGCCAGGCGAGGACAGCGCCAGAGATGGCACCATCGTTGAGGAAGAAGGGCCCTCGCCAATGGCCCCGTGGCATCTGGCCTTGGATTTTCCAGCCTCTGGAACTGAGTGATAAATTCCTGTTCTTAATAAATGTCTCAGTCTCAGATATTTTTTACAGCAGCACAAATGACTAAGTCAGTTACACAACTACACATTTCCTAAATGTTGAATTGTACACTTAACATGGGTAAATTTATGGTACACCCACTTGGTACACGAAACCTCAAGAGAGCTGTTTTGAAAAAGCGTGAGTTCCTGATGGACTGTTACTCATTAAATACCTGTGAGCACAGAGACACACAGGAATTTGAAGCTCAGCCTTGATCCAGTGTAAGACACTTCACACAGCAACCGAGGAGTCCCTGTCGGCTCACTCGATGGCAAAAAGAAAAGGTCCCAGGGAGTCACCCACAATGGATTTCTTCTACAAGGGCTAAAAGCTGACTTCAACACGAAATCACTCCCCACTGGATACAATTCCACTCAGCCTGCGGGACATTTAAAAATATTACCTCTGCCAATTTCAGAAGAAGGACAGCGTTTTCCGTTTCCAGTTCTGCTATCTTGTCTTCTTTGGCCTACAACCAAGGATCCAAAACAGACAATGACCAACGCAGCACTTACCTGGTTGTACTGAAGTCATGAGACTTCTATTAATCAGCCATCATGCTCACCCTCAGAACACAGCGTACACTGGACGCAAACACACGGGCCCTGGGTGAGGAACTGCCGTCCTGGGCTGCACGGCCGTGCTTTGGTCAATGACAGGCCTCGTCCCTCACCGTGGCCGCTTGAGAGGGCAGTGCCTTATTTTTACTGTAGCTTTTCTGTGTTGCGATACACACATCCTCACTGTTGTGTTACAGCCACCCGCGGTATTCGGCAGAGTCCCGCGCTGCACAGATCTGCGGCCTGGCTGCAATGGCCACACCCGATAGCAGCAGGCGGCACCTTCCCAGGTCGTGGAAAAGCACCCCACGATGTCCCACAATGACAAAGCTGTCCAAGGTCACATTTCTCAGAACACAACCCCGCCATTCAGCGATGCCTGACTGTATGGGAGCTGACCGATGCTGGGCTCGGATGACGCCGCGGCCCCAGGACAGGCAGGAAAGACCATCTCCACCCCGACAGGCTGTGCTTCCCTCCCACCGTCCACGCTCACATCCACCACCTCTCCAGCCTCCAGTGTGGCCCCTGACCAGCAGCCGAACCCGGGGGCTTGGACCCTCCCACCCCTTGTCAGAAGGGGGCTCAGAGAGGCTGGCTGGGAGGGCTGAGGACTGTCACAGAAACACTGGGGCACAGAAGCAGCCAGTGTGAAGGCCTTGAGGTGGGAACGAGCGTGGCATGTTGAGGACAGGGCAGAGGCCTGCGAGGCCAGTGAGTGGGTGAGGGAGGTTGAGGAAGGAAGGAGGCCGGGGCATGGCCAGGGTGTGTGCAAGCCAGGTGGAAGACTGGGTTTGATCCCACATAGATGGGAGAGCACTGGAGGGTCTGACATAGGGCTGTGACGTATCACCTATCAATAGTGAACACAGAGAGAGCCAGCAACTGGAGAATTTCCTGCAAAGACAACCACCAGTTTCTTAGGAAGCAGGTTGTGGTGCAGGCCCTCCTACTGGGGGTTCAGTCCTCTGCTGGGGACTCCTCCTCCCCCACGCCTGCTGACACGCCCACAACCAGCTGTGATGATTTTAGGACAATCTTGCTTGTAACTCCAAACTCTTTGGGACTGGTGATATGACCTGAGGCCTTGGGAGTCATCTACACCAGCAGTCCCTAACCTTTTTGCCACCAGGGACTGGTTTCATGGAGGACAGGCTTTTACATCTATACATTTCCATCGAAGCCTTGCTTTAGCTTCATCCCATAAGTTTCTGTACCGTGATATCTTCATTTTTGTTTATCTCAAAGTACTTCCTTATTTCCTTGTGGTTTCTTCTTTGACACACTGGTTATTTAAGAGTGTCTTGTTTAATTTCCACATATTTGTGAGTTTCCCAAATTTATTTTTGCCATCAATTTCAAATTTAACTCTATTCTGAACACGCTCCAGGATAAACATGCTGGGTCACAGAACAAGCCTGAATACATTAAAGGATAGAAATCGTATACGATTCAGGCTTGTTCTACTTAAAGGATAGAAATCATGTATGATTCAGGCTTGTTCTACTTAAAGGATAGAAATCGTATATGATTCAGGCTTGTTCTATTTAAAGGATAGAAATCGTATATGATTCAGGCTTATTCTATTTAAAGGATAGAAATCATATATGATTCAGGCTTGTTCTATGACCTAGTATGTTTATCCTGGAGCGTGTTCAATGCGCACTTGAGAAGAATTCTGAGTTCTGTTGTTAGGTAGCGTGTTCCACAGATGTCTGTTA